ATATATAATTAGTTGTATGAAATTTATTTTTACTATGTATAAATCAGATACAAAATATACAAATAACTATTGTATAAATTTTGTATAAAATTTATATGTAAGTTGTATGTTATTATAGTTATATTTAATTGGGTCCAAATAATGTATGAAAATTATAGATAGGTTGTATAATAGATAATTAGTTGTATGAAATTTATTTTTACTATGTATAAATTAGATACAAAATATACAATAGACATATTGTATAAAATTTGTATTAAGTGGTATGATATTGTAGTTGTATATAACTTGGGAGAAATAATGTATGACAATTGTAGATAAGTTGTATAATATATAATTAGTTGTATGAAATTTATCTTTACTATGTATACAAAATAATTTTGGGATCTCAGGGAGCTCGTGGTTGAGGTTAGGAGGGTAAATGACAGGTTGATGAGTATTAAGCTGGTAGTTGGTGGGTTTACTGTAAACGTGATTCGTGTATATGCTTCTCAGGTAGGTTTGAACCAGGAGGTCAAAAAGCAATTTTGGGATGATTTGGGCGAGATGGTGTGTAGTATCCCATACGCAGAGAAGTTGTTCATTGGCGGAGATTTCAATGGTCATACTGGGTCTAGTGTTGGGGGTTATGATGATGTGCTTGGCGGTTACAGTTTTGGGGATAGGAATGAGGGCGATAATTCACTGCTGGAGTTTGCTAGAGCTTTTGATTTGGTTATAGCTAACTCGAGTTTCCTGAAGAGGGAAGAGCACCTGCTCACTTTTCGAAATTTAATGGGAAGACTCAGATTGATCATCTTCTCTGCAGGAAATGCGATAAATGTTTGTGCACTGACTGCAGGGTCATCCCGAGTGAGAACCTTACGACCCTACATAGGCTCCTAGTTATGGACCTGGAGATCAAGAGGAGTAGGAGGAAGATGGCGGGGTGCAGGCAACCTAAGATCAAGTGGAATAACTTGACTAAGGATAAAGCTCAGGAGTTAGAGGAGAAGTTGTTGGCTATTAGGGCCTGGACGAGTATGGGGGACGCGTCTAGTATATGGTCCATGATTGCAGATTGCATTAGGGTAGCTGCTGGAGGGGTCTTAGGGGTTACAAAGGGTTCTCTTGGGGGTCATAAAGGGGACTGGTGGTGGAATGGAGAGGTTCAAGGTAAAGTGGAAGCTAAGAAAGCTGCTTATTTGAAGCTAGTAGAGAGTACAAACAAGGAGGAAAAAAGGACTTATCGAGAGTGTTACATAAAAGGAGAAAGAGGCAAAGTTAGCAGTTACGACGGCTAAGAACGCAGTGTTTGCTTGTTTGTACGAGGATCTCGAGGGCAAAGGTGGGGACAAGAGGTTGTACCGGTTGGCCAAGGTGAGGGAGAAGAAAGCCCTTGACTTAGACCAAGTCAAGTGCATCAAGGACGAGGATGTCAAAGTGTTGATGGACGAGGCACTAATTAGGACAAGGTGGCAGACATACTTCCATAAACTGTTGAATGAGGAGGGGGATAAACACGTTGTTCTAGGTGAGTTGGAGCACTCCGAGAGTCGGAAAGATTTTGGGTACTGTAGGCGGATTACGGTAGAGGAGGTGGAAGGGGCGATGCGTAAGATGTGCAGGGGCTGAGCAACGGGGCTAGACGAAATTCCGGTGGAATTTTGAAAGAGCGCGGGGCGGGCAGCTTTGGAGTGGTTCACTAAGTTGTTTAATGTTGTTTTTAAGACAAAGAAGATGCCCGAAGAATGGAGGTGGAGTATGATGGTTCCGCTTTACAAGAACAAGGGTGATATCCAAAATTGCAACAATTATTGGGGTATCGAGTTATTGAGTCACACTATGAAGGTTTGGGAGAAGGTGGTGGAGGCCAGGGTGAGGAGGTACGTGTCTATTTCCGAGAATTAGTTTGAATTCATGCCGGGGAGTTAAACTACGGAAGCAATTCATCTGGTAAGGATATTAGTGGAGCAGTACGGGGAGAGGAAGAAGGATTTGCATATGGTGTTTATTGACCTTGAGAAGGCATACGATAAAGTTCCGAGGGAGGTCTTGTAGAGGTGTTTGGAGGGTAGCGGCGTCCTGATAGCGTACATTAGGGTGATTAAGGTTATGTACGATGATGCTAAGACTCGGGTGAGGACTGTGAGTGGTGACTCAGAGTATTTCCCTGTGGTGATGGGGTTGCACCAGTGATCGGCTCTTAGCCCATTTTTGTTTGCCTTGGCAATGGATGTACTATCGCGTCACATCCAAGGGGAGGTGCCTTGGTGCATGGTATTTGTCGATGATATAGTGTTGATTGACGAGACGCGTAGCGGAGTTAACGCGAGGTTGGATGATTGGAGACAGACTTTGAAGTCTTAAGGTTTCAAACGAAGTAGAACCAAGACAGAATACTTGGAGTGCAAATTCAGTGAGACCCATGATGCAGCCATAAAGGTTAAGCTTGATGGTCAAGTTATCCCCAAGAGAGCGAGCTTTAAATATCTCGGGTCTATTATCCAGGGTAATGGGGAGATTGACGAAGATGTCACACATCGCATAGGAGGGGATGGATGAAGTGGAGGCTCACTTACGGTGCTCTATTTGATAGGAATGTACCTTTAAGACTTAAGTGTAAGTTTTATCGAGTGGTGGTTCGACCCGCTATGTTGTATGGGGCTGAGTATTAGCCAGTCAAGAACTCCCACGTGTAGAAGATGAGAGTAGCAGAGATGAGGATGTTAAGATGGATGTGTGGGTGTACCAGGCGAGATATGATTAAGAATGAAGCTATCCGGGACAGAGTGGGAGTAGCCTCCATGGAGGACAAGATGCGAGAGTCGCGGCTGTGATGGTCCGGACATGTTAGGAGAGGAAGCATTGATGCCCCTTTCAGGAGGTGTGAGAGTTTGGCCATGGAGAGTTTGAGAAGGGATCGGGGTAGGCCTAAGAAGTACTGGAGAGAAGTGATTAGGCAGGACATGGCTCTGCTTCAGATCACTGACGACATGACCCTTGATAGGAGGGTGTGGAGGTCGAGGATTAAGGTAGAAGGTTAGTAAGTAGTTTATAGTATTCATCGATAGGCTTATTAGCGTGCATGTCCCTTTATATTTTTAGATTTTTTATTACGATATGTGATTTTGTTCACCTCAGGTATTATATTCCCCGTTGCTATTATTTGATACTACTTATTCTTTATCTCTCCCTTTATTCTCTTCCATCTTTCTTCCTTCCCTGCTCTCCTCTTCTTCTTCTTGCCCTTCCTGATCTGTGGGTCTATTGGAAACAGTCTCTTTACCTGCATTAGGTAGGGGTAAAGTCTGGGTACAGACTATCCTCCCCAGACTCCACATGTTAGGATCAAACTGAGTTTGTTGTTGTTGTTATTGTTTTTGTTGTTGTTGTTGTTGTATACAAAATAATGTAGATAAGTTGTAAATTTCTGATCATTTTTATCTACAAATCTCAACTTGAAGAATTCTGAGACCGCGCTCTGTCCCTTTATTAGCCCTGTACTCAAGCTGTAGAGCGAAGGCCTATGGGCGCTCAAAATTAACTGTAATAATTTTTACTCCTAAACTATGCTGCTAGCACCCCCACCCCATCCCCCAAAAACCACATTTAGGGAACAGTAACACCAAAGTGTTTGGACGTACTTAGGAAGAAATCAATAGCCCAGTCTGCTAGCGCCTCCATCACCAATGGCGATTACCAATTTTAGTTGCACAGTTGTGCTAGCAGCATCTCGTTTATTTAATTTGTTATCAAAACTTAATTTTTGTTCTTATGCTTCAGATTTTGGAGAGAAGAGGGGAGAGAAGAGAGAAAAAGGAAAAAGGGTGTGACTAAATCCCTTGATTGAAGATACAAAAAATGGATTGTAAGGCTTTTAAGGTGGATTGTATATATTTTGTAAATAAAAATTGTTTATACCGGTAATTAACTAAACATGAACATTTAGGGTAACAAAATTTCCAATAATGTATATGAATGAAAAAATCCCTACATTATACTTTCTCCTAAACAAATAACTTAGTGTATATTACAATTTCTCCATTGTGCACTTATCAACATGAAAATGATCGAGAAACAAATTTTCATACACTAATTAATCACTAGAATGGGTATTCATTGAAGATAATACTTTATCAAGACATGGTTACCCATCAATAGTAGACAATTAATTAACCATTAGGTTCTATTATCAATTAATACAGAGAAGTGACATTGCTTTAAAATAGAAGAAATAAAAGAATTAAATCGAAGACATGAATCTTCAACTATCTAGCTATTTCTAGGACAAACGTTTAATTGGAGCTTCTCCTAACAATATTCTCAATCATAGAATATGTGATACTATATAGGTCTTAAATTTTTTGTTGTATTGGTCTAAAACTTCAACTTGATTATGATGAATATATTTTTTATGAGAAACGTAGTTATTAAAGAATTTTATAAAGGATCAATAGTTTCAATGCAATGACTAATTAAATAGTCTTTCTCAAAGTTCTTTAGAAAGGATCAAATAATCAAGAGAAGATTTTCCTCGAGATTAATATTAGTAATTTGTTCGAGGAATCTAATTTGATACAATAGCGGTTTAGAACATAGGTGTCACGACCCAAACTGGAGGGCCATGACTAGCACCCAACCACACTTGTCGAGCACCAACGTA